GTTATTTGCCTCTCCACCGAAAAATGATAATAGACTTGAAATCAAAAGGTTTGTGGACAATCACAGTTGTGGGCAGCATGGCAATAATGCTGGTCAATCTAGAGCCTCAAGGCGATTCATTGCTACCCAATTACAACCCACGTTAAAGGTTCGACCGGATATACGGCCTATTGACGTTCAAAAGGAGTTTCTAAGCTCGTATGGGATTAGGGTCGATTATAGTAAGATTTGGTGGGGTAAAGAAAGAGCACAAGAGAAATTATATGGTGATGCCCATGAGTCCTACGATCAATTACGATGGTAAATAGAAGATGATATATAACAAAATGAGGGGATTAGGGTCGATTATACTAATTTTTCAATGTTGGTACTAACGCTTAATCTTCAATTTTCTAGGTATGTAGAAGAGGTCAAGAAGACAAACCCAGGTAGCTATATTCATGTTGAACAAAATGAGGGGAGGTTTACAAGGTTATTCATATGCTACGCCGCCTGCATAAATGGTTTTTTATACGGCTGTAGACCACTCTTATTTTTGGATGGTACCTTTCTTAAAGATCGATTCAAAGGCATACTCCTAAGCGCCGTAGCATATGATGGAAATCAGGGGATATTTCCATTGGCGTATTGTATATGCGATCAGGAAAATAATGTTAACTGGAAGTGGTTCTTACAAGGTTAGTTCTATCCCTAGCCATGTTAGTTCTGTTGCAGGTTATGATAATTCTAGCTCATTCATTGCTAACTCTAATTCGTGTATGGTAACCACAACTCTTTGTAGGTTTGTGGTCTATTCTCTATGAAAGGCCAGATCCATACAACCCTCCACACAAGCTAGTGATAATTTCAGATGCGGATAAGGGGATCAGAGAAGCAGTTAGAGAATTTTTTCCAGATTCTATACACTCTCGATGTGTGTTGCATCTAGTTGAGAACTTCAGGACAAAGTTGAAGGATTTGGGATTCAAATCAAAAGATACTCAGATCTTGGGTAATCTATTGCAATCTGCCTGTTACAAATATACTAGAGCAGAATGGAACGATTACATGGACGACATTAGACTGGTTGACGAAAGAGCTTACAATATTGTGATGAACTACGCTCCAGAAAACTGGGCCAATGCGTTTTTCCCTGGAGTTAGGTAAGTTATAAGCTATTTCATTACATGACTATTATAAGCCGCTTGACGAATTCCCTATTATGTTTCAGATATGGTCACGTTACATCAAATGTTGCAGAGTCATTCAACAAATGGATACATGAGGCTAGGCTACTACGGATACTTCAACTGGTAGAGCACATACGTAAACAGATTATGGTTCGTATGAATGAGCGACGAACCATGGCTGAAAGTTGGAATCAATTTCTTTGCCCCAAAGCTGAACTTGCTCTCAAAGAGAACATGGAAAATGGTCGTCCATTGGAGGTTCGTCAGTCCCACACAGGATTATTTGAGGTACAATCCCATAGATCTTGTCAAGTGGATCTAGACAATAAAACATGCACTTGCCGTGGGTGGGATGTAACCCGTGTCCCTTGCAAACATGCATGCGCATCCATTATGTTTATGAAAAGGGATGTCTACCAGTTCTGTGACTGGTTTATGACGGTTGAAGCCTTTAAAAAGAGCTACGAGCCAATCCTCTACCCTATCCCTGACTTTGAGAAGCGCATCGTGCCAAGGGATGAGATACAGATCCTACCTCCACTTACAACAAAAAGGAAAGGGAGAAATAAAACCAGGCGTATCAACAACAGAACTGTTTACACGCGGCCAGTAAAATGTTCTCGATGTCATATGGAAGGTCATAACCGTAAAACATGTAATGAATCTATAGCTGACTAAGTGTTTGATATGTTGAAGTGTTTTCGTCCCAGTATGCAACAAATATTTTGTTTTTTTCCGATTGAATGTTTACTCTTTGTTAATCGGGAACTAACATCAGCTTACACTAGATAAAAAGTTGTAAGTAACAAAACAACTATCATATTAGGCCTAACACGCTTAAAAGAATAGAACTAACATCTCAGTTATTCGATGCGCTCGAGGGGCTAGGAGTAACAAGCCAAAGAATAGAACTAACTTGGTATCAGATAGTACTAACATGTGCAGAAGCAGAACTGACTTGGATCGGAACAGATTACAGAATAGAACTAACACTCTACAGGATAGCACTAACACTCTACAGACTTGAACTAATACTGTGCAGAATAGAACTAACACTCTACAGATTAGAACTAACACTGTGCAGATTAGAACTAACACTCTACAGAATAGAACTAACACTGTGCAGATTAGAACTAACACTCTACAGAACGGAACTAACACTGTGCAGAATAGAACTAACACTCTACAGATTAGAACTAACACTGTGCAGATTAGAACTAACACTCTACAGAATAGAACTAACACTGTGCAGATTAGAACTAACACTCTACAGAATAGAACTAACACTGTGCAGATTAGAACTAACACTCTACAGAATAGAACTAACACTGTGCAGATTAGAACTAACACTCTACAGAATAGAACTAACACTGTGCAGATTAGAACTAACACTCTACAGAATAGAACTAACACTGTGCAGATTAGAACTAACACTCTACAGAATAGAACTAACACTGTGCAGATTAGAACTAACACTCTACAGAATAGAACTAACACTGTGCAGATTAGAACTAACACTCTACAGAATAGAACTAACACTGTGCAGATTAGAACTAACACTCTACAGAATAGAACTAACACTGTGCAGATTAGAACTAACACTCTACAGAATAGAACTAACACTGTGCAGATTAGAACTAACACTCTACAGAATAGAACTAACACTGTGCAGATTAGAACTAACACTCTACAGAATAGAACTAACACTGTGCAGATTAGAACTAACACTCTACAGAATAGAACTAACACTGTGCAGATTAGAACTAACACTCTACAGAATAGAACTAACACTGTGCAGATTAGAACTAACACGCTACAGAATAGATCTAACATGGTATAGATTAGAACTAACACGCTCCAGAATAGAATTAACATTGTATAATTTAGAGATAGCTTGTTATAAAATAGAACTAACTTGTATAAATTAGAACTAACTTGGCATAAATTAGAACTAACGTGGCATAAAATTAGAACTAACATGGTATAAAATTAGAACTAACTTGTTATAAAATAGAACTAACTTTGTATAAATTAGAACTAATGTGGTTAGTTCTAATTTTTACCAGCTCGTGTTAGTTTTAATTTATTTAATGTGTTAGTTCTAGTGTTAGTTCTAACAGATATCGTGTTAGTTGTAATTTATTTAAGTCATTAGTTCTACGTAATTGTTGGGTCTAAACGCCATGTTAGTTCTATTTAATGATGTGTTAGTTCTAGCTTCTCTAGTGTTAGTTCTAACTGGTATCGTGTTAGTTCTAATTTATTTAAGTCGTTAGTTCCAGCGTAATTGTTAGGTCTAAATGTCATATTACTTCTACTTGATGATGTGTTAGTTCTAGCTTCTCCAGTATCAATTCTAACAGGTATCGTGTCAGTCCTAACAGGAGCTCAATTAGAACTAATATAGCCACTAGAACTAACGCTTATATTAGAACCAACACTAGCTGGAAGTAGAACTAACATTAAATAAGTCAGAACTAAATTAGAACTAACATAGAACAACATAAAATAAGTTAGAACAAACATTAAATAACTTAGAACTAACATTAGAACTAACATGAATTAGAACTAAATTAGAACTAACATAAAATAAGTTAGAACTAACATTAAATAACTTAGAACTAACATTAAATAACTTAGAACTAACATTAAATAACTTAGAACTAACATGAGTTATTGCTCATGATAGAGTTCAAAAAAGGGCGGGAAATTTCCCTCTATTTTTTCCATCAGATTGCATTAATGGGCGTGACTTTCCATGTAGTTTGTGGACCAGACGTCTAGGGAAGATAAGTGGAGGGGTAATTTCGGGTTTTTTTTCAAAATACAATCTCTTTTTTTATACTGCTGACGTGGAGGGGCCTTAAAATATTAAATGGTACTTTTTGGGGCTGAATCACATGGGGCAAAATACAAGGGGGCGGGTCACATGAACATTCTGCTTTTGGGGCCTGGACACATTTTTCCCTTTTTTTTATTTACCAAATGTCATGCATTTAGATGACACATTCAGTTTTTTGCGTTTTTAGAAGAATCATGAATTTCCTCATTATAATAAAGGAGAGATTAATGATGGTCCCGGTGATAGCTTTTTCGACGGCTCTTTATGTTGATGTTATAACTATAGAAAATAAGCAAATCTCCACACGATTTGCATAGATGAAAATGAGAATGAAAACAAAATCAACCCAAAATCTACATTTCAAAGGAGGAAAACAAAGAGAGAGAAAAAACGAGGCAGCCAACCCACAGTGGGTTGCGCAAATTGCTTGATGACACAACGGTAGTATTGCCAACACCCCCAAGTCCCTTGTTCGATCCCGTCTATCTTTAGAATGGGAGGTGGGACCCGTACACCCAGCTAGGTTAGTGTGAGAATGGGAGGTGAGACTCATACACCCAGGCTTTACTTGATAGGGATGGGGATCGAACTTGGGCTTCGGCATAAGGATCCTCGTGCTTTGCGAAGGTTTCCCTTGTATCAGAACGAGAGAAGCAGTAGCCTACAACTTGCTGGCCCCTTGTATCAGAACGAGAGAAGCAGTAGCCTACAACTTGCTGGCTTGAACTTGTTAACGCATTCGTTCATTTGGAGGGCCCTGATCCCAACTATCTGCATTTTGTTTTTCTCTTGACAGTTGGGATATCTGTCCTCCAAACTGGCGAGCTGCAATACGCTCTCTATGCGGAGAGTGTCCGACAGCGTTCACATTCAGCTGGCAAGAGCAGCAAGGATCTGTCACAAAATTGCGCATGCATTTTTTGCACTTCGTACTATGCGGTTCTCAGTTAAAAATATAGCAAAATCATAAGATTCATCACGTAAAGATGTGAACCACTGAAACTAGTTACTCGTACACAAAAGCTGAGAAAACGATGTACATCAATATAAGAGTACTACTATGAGATTAGTACCTCCAAATATATATGATACTCTACTACACATACATTAAGAAGAAAAAAAAAGGTAAATTGAGAAGAACACGCAAAGCAATTACAGCTCTTGACATTTTTGTCATCATCTTCGCATTTTATGTACAGTGCTCACCAAGATCCACACATTCTTAGCCCAGAATCAATCTTCATCCTCTGTCTCTTCATCGTCAACATTTTCCAAATCTTCCTTATCTTCTTCAGTTTCCTCGCTATCTTCCTCGTACATATCTTTAATAGGCCATGACTTCTTAACCATGTCGATATCTCTTGGTGCAGAACTTGAGCTTTTCTGCCTTGGAACTTTTGAGGGTGGCTTTTGCTGTATTGGACTGGGTCTATTCCTTTTAATGCTTTTGAGAACATTGAGCTTCTTCATGAGCGTATCTTGTTCACTGGATTCATCAATATCAAAATCAGCAGTGGGAGCATGATGTTTGCCATTTTCTTCTAAATTGTGGTCAGGATGCTCTTTTTTCAAATGGAGATTTAGCTTATACTCATGAATATAGTCTTTCCCACAGCCTTCATAGGGACAGGCAAACGGACGGTCAGAAGAAGCTGAACCATGTAAAGCTGCAGGATTTTTCAGTGCATTTTGGATTTTATCTAACACTTGTGTGGAGTGCTTCACCGTCTCTGCTCCAGTACTCTGCAGTTATATGACAGATAAACTACCAATAATTTTTAATTGATACGTATCACAAAAAATAGTCAGTGTTTTAAAGATGTATCAACCAGACAAGAACATATTTTCTTGACTAAGACAAATCAAGATGTCTCTACCTCTTTAAACACTCCTGAACCGATCTCTCACGAGAACAATTTCTTTCCCAAGGCACTTAAATGCAACACTTAAAGGAAAGGAGTTTGCATTGAAACTACCCTTTACAAGGGTGATATTTAAATTTTCTGCTATCACCGTGATGAAATCGCTTCATCTAGGTGGGGATGCAAATAAAAAATGTGTGCATAATTTATTCCTCTTGCTTTTTACATAATTCATCAACTGACCTTTCTCTCAGCTGAGAAATACTCAAGAAACTCTGTTGTCTTCTATCCAGCAGACTAATTCTGGTTGAAAGTATTTTACCACTTTTTGTTTGTTTAATCTCAGATGTGGGTGCTCAACTAACATTGGAGATGCTTTACCAAAGCAAGCTGAATTGCAAGATATATTAGATTAAATTAGGTCACAACGCTGCATAATCAATTCACATTGCCCACGTCAGTGGGTCTCAAACAGCCTAATTACATTGTGACAAACTAGAAATATGATTTCATGTTACAAGATAAACTAAAACGGAGATATATGTAAAAGAATAAAGGGTTAATTGCACATACACCTCCATCCATCCCTCCATCAAACCCACCCACCCAGTGTCATTGATGGACTTTAAGTTATGGGTTTGGATTTGATTGACTATATGGCACTGGACTTAATGTCATGCCATAACCTCAAGTCACCTATTATTTGTCATCAACACCAGGCTAAAATTTAGCAGTCATGCAAGGTTCTGAGATAAAGATAAAAATAAAAATAAAAGTAATGACAGTTTTTTCATGAGATATAAGGTGAATGAAGGAATGGCTTGGATTGGAGATCCATTATATTAATAGTTATGGAAAATAGATCTCCTTGCAGAATGGTTTTATGTTTATGCCAAATTGCAATTTCAATTCAACCATGTTCACTAAGGTAAAAGTATATGAAATACAACCCCATAGATGACAAATGTTCAACATCTAGTTTGCAGAGGGGTTCAACATTATAAATAGGTGATTTATCAATAGTTTGTAAGAACATGTAGGGAACAATGTCCTACACCGCATAAACCTTGATACTGTGCCATTTAAAAGTTATCAACTGTTTACTTATTTGGAGCATAATTAACCAATGGCATGTCTTATGGGGAAAAAAGAAAGAATATGATTTCTAAGGAAAAAAAAAGGAAAAAAAAAGAAAGAATATGATTTCTAAGGAAAAAAAAAGGGAAAAAATCATACAGCATTCAAGGCTACGCATGATAAAAAAAACCATCAGAAGACCAATTCATCCTCATAAAATTCCTCTAATAAACATCATCCTCATTAAGTCACCGAAAACTTTCCTAAATGAAAATTTAGCTACTGTGAAACAAGTATTAAAGACTATTGACAAATATAAATAGAAGACCTTTACCTTTCCATGGTGTGCCTTTATGTGAGCATTTAACTTATTCTCATGTGTATATTTTTTCCCGCAATCTTTGTATGGGCAAACATGATAATTCTCTGGTGAATGTATCTTCATATGAGATCGTAAATTGAAATCCAGGGAGAAGGCCTGCAATTCAGCATCTTAAGTTTAACAATCATATAATATATATAATCATCTTATCAGTTATAATAGGGCAGAAAGGTGGTGTCGTCTGGATGAGGTGAGAAAACACAGTCTGACTCTGATATGGAACATTGACAGACAATCAAGTTCATAGCTAATGAAATGCAAATAGCACATAGTAAACTGAAAACCCAGATAATATTTGAATCCCAAAGGTACTTGAACTAACAGTATAATTATTTCCGATTATTACTTACTAGCTCAACGCACCCCCCACCGCCACCAAAGCCCAAAGGAAATATAAATAAATAAAAACGACCCACCACTAAAAAAGAAATAATAATAATAATAGTAAAATAAAAATAATCCCCGGTTCAATTTGGTAACTGCATTTTCTGACTTGAACGTCTTTCAGTGCACCCATGAAGTCAGTAGCTACCCTGCAATATTTTAAACCTCCACATGAAGTTGACAACTGATGTAATTGCAACATTCACAGCTAAATTATACCTTCATTACATCAACTGACAAATCTATAATACAATGATAAAGAAATCTTCCTACTTGCTTATCCACCATCCTCACTATTATTTTCTAAACAACTATATCTTCTTACATTCGATCTTCATGATCCGTCTAAGCTCCAACCAAATCATGCTATGTTCTTACATTTTATCTCCATAAAAATACGCAGACTGCATATGCATATCTAACTATTGATTATTCCAAATTTGCTTATCCTTGTGGTGGCTGCTGAATTATAATAAATAGGATATAACATGCAGCCTTGTCCAGATAAAAACCTGGAATACAATGTCATAAGCATGAATTATTCACTGATTTTCATCATTACCTGGTATTGGACTGGTTGATGGACATGGCACAACAGTAACAAAATGGCGTACATTCACGGAGTGCGTTCACCCATAAAATTGATGCAGTATTTATGATCATTTCCTCTTAAGAGCTTAACATGTTTTGTTCAATCCATTGAATAATGAACCGGATTATAAATATGGATTATAAATGTCATACGTGTTGTCTTTTATAAAACTCAAGAAATAAAGGAACGGCGTCCAAAATAGTAAACCAACGGAACATATAAAGTTGCACTAAATGCACAAAATATGTAATAGATTATGACAGTAAACACTCAAACCTGAAAGTATGAAATGCAAGAAACTTACCTTCCCACAGCCTGGATGAGGGCATATAAAATGCCTCTCTCCTGTATGAGTAAGAAAGTGTCTTTTGAGCTTGGAACTGTCCAAAAATTTCTGCAGACCATAGGGATTGCAAATATCTAATTAGCAGCGAAGTTTATCATATGGAAATGTCAAATTGAACATGTGGAATAAATCTTCTATTTACTTTTTCCTTTTCTCTGTCAAGTAAATTATCATATTTGATGTGGAAAAATTAAATATTATCTTTAAACTTGTAAAGAAGTCAATGTAAAGACTGATAATAAATGGGATATTCAGGATAAGATGGTTTAAAGTGATTGCAAAGAGATTGATTTTGTTCTCGCTTTCTGCTCTTCTGCTATTGCAACAGTTTTTCCTTTTCTGAAATCTATACAGCTAGAAAATCCTATCTGTCACCCAAATCAAACATAAATCCCCTTCCATAGATTCTAACTCTAGGTTTACATCAATAAATAAATAAACTTACACATGGAATTGCAGCATATTACATATTTTAGTCAGAAAGGCTTAAATTATAATGGAGATAATAGACGCTTTAACGTAAACCAATTAAATTTATGTGACAAGAATGCTGCTTACTATGTTAAACCTACATTGCTTATTATGGAATATTCCCGAAAAAAATCTGTATGCAAGTTAGTGATCCATATTCCAACTACTTGCAAATAGCATTATCATCTGAGTTATCAAACGAAAGAAAAGAAGACAAACTGGAACGTGATAGAGGTTCAAGGGCTCATATGTATTATGCAAAAAAGTATATTCTTGGAAAGACGCAAGTCACACAACCTTGACAGATTCTCTCCAAAAAAGAAAAATCAAGTTCCAAGAGGAAGAACTGAATTAAGAGTAAGAAGCTAAGCTACAAGAAAGTATAAGATTCCCGATGAAGAAGTATGAAAAAATGCACATCGCAGATGCACTTAAAACGAACACTGATGTCATAAATATGCTGGTTTTTTAGTGGAGGAAGAAAGAAAATGTTTCTGACTTCTTAGTAGCCCGATAAATTTGGAAAAGGCTTAATTGTTTATTTAGATACTGACGTTAGATATTCTATGGTAAATCCTAAAGAAAAAGCGCACCCAAAATTTCATTGAAATATGACAAGCGGACATCTTATACCTTCCCTTTCTGTCTACTTATTAATGGGTTTTTTTCCTCGCTAGTCTAGATGATTCCAACTAGTGTTTGGAAAACAAGGTTTATGTGGCTGCATAAATGCCACATAAAAGTACGCAGGTAACATCCGAATCAAAATGCCTTCTCACTATGGGAACAAGCTGCATGTTCACTTCTATCACTCGTCTAACAATTACAAGAGTTGTTATTTCATTATCCTATATCCAACCCATTATCAATTTAACCTAACACAATTGAGCCATTAAACCAATTATACAAATTCTAGGAACCGGACATCTCCCTTCCCTTAGTGTAAAAAGGTGATACTCCTTCTGTTCCCTTCTTTATCATAGGCAGCAGTCCTAAGAATGCAACAAGATTTGTAACTCTTCTTTTATTTTCATCTTTTTTAGTTTGTTTACTTTCTAATTTCTCTCATAACCATTCCTTGCTTCTGTACAGGAAGGCTATCAGCTCTCCTGAATCTTTTAACTAGGGATTTGTTTGAATATCATGGTGTTTTTATGTGTGTTTTTGTAAAAAAATATCGTAGTGTTGTGTTTTTTCCTTGAAGTGTTCTCAAAACGCCATGTTAAGTGTTTTTGATCAACCCTACTTTGACACGTAACAACATTATTATTATTATATTATTACTATATTATATATTAATTATAATAAAATATTTTATAAATAAAATATTATAATATTTAGTTTACATTATTATAGTATTATAAATATTAAATATAATACAATATAATATTGTATAACGTATTATAATATTATATTGTACTTTAGTGTGTTATAATTACAGTGATTATAATATTGTATTGTATATTATTATATCATTATTATATTAGTATTTATTATTACTAATCTTTTTATTTATTTTTATTAGTTTCTTTATATTCTATTATTATTATATAGATATTTTATTATTATTATGTTTTTATATTATTTAATAAATATTTTTAATATACTAGATTAACCATAATATAATATAGTATAATGTAATATAATATAATAAGCATATCGATAATAACTATATATTAATTATATTTAATATGTTATGTTAGATATTATATTAACACCTCATCAAACTCAAAATCAAAACACCAAACTTAAAACACCTAAAAAGCGTTTTGAAATAAGTGTTGTGATTTTGGTTTGATGATGATTTAGCTTAAAAAAACACCATGGTTTTCAAACGCATGGTGTTTTGTATTTGGCAAAAACACCATAAAAACAAGTAAAACACCATGATATCCAAACAGAGCCTAGATATAACAACTACTTGCTGTATAACCTATTTCAGTAAGGTGTAAGTGAAGAAATAGTGATTTCTTTTATGATTTGTTGTTGATGCTTGTTCATAAGTTATTATTTTTATTGAAAACTTGATGTAATGCGCAGGTTATGGTTAGGGTAACATGGGACAGGTTATATACTATTGTTTTGCTAGGTTTTCAAGTTGTCACAAAATTTATCACAGTTTTCAAGTTTTTCATGTCTTTCGTAACAACGTGTTCATGTATATGTATGTATGTATGTGTATATATATGTACGCATGTGTATATGTATGTATGTTTACACTAACATTTTTACATAGTTCAATTATGAAGCGTAAAATCTAATTATGCATTATATGTTGCCCAAGCACACACATACTGAATCCGTGTTTTAAACATTGATTGCCACACAAGAACGAAGTATTAATAGATTGGGATGTGGCATACCTTTCCACATCCATCATAATGGCAAACATATTGCCTCTCGCCATGGGTGTGAGCATGTTTCCTTAGAGTACCTATATCAAGAAAAGTTCTTCCACAGCCTTCATAGCTGCAAAGGAAAAGAACCTCAGTTGTTGATTCAGGTTCTGGCGCTTGTTTTTCTGGCACCTTTTGATTGTCTTTTAGGGACTGCATTGTGTCCTCTAGACAGGAAGAAGATTAATTAGATGAGGTACAATAGTTGATAATAAATACTAAACTAAAAGATCTAAGTAGAATATATTTTTATAGAACCAAGAACAAATTCAGAAAATCAGACGCTACTTCAATCAGCTTACAAGAATTTTATAGAAATAATATAAAGAAAACTCACAATGCATGCTTAAGGAAAGTGTATGGTTACATAAGTGTTTAATTGTCCCTTAGTAAGAGTTTAGTATCCAATACTCAAGAGGAAAAATAGTAAAGAAAACTAACAAACATACAGATAGAACAGTGTATGAATCAAATGCATAAAGAAACTAAAACTACACAATCAGCCGGAAAGAAGAGCACTAGCCAGTTTCAGAAAGTGAAGTAGTTGTTTCACCTCACATCATGAACCCTATGAATTAAATGAATTCATGTATTGACTGTAAAAAAATATAGACATCAAATTTAGAGTCCCAGAAAGATGAACATAAGCTTATCTGTTTCTACCAGGACATATTAAGTAGTACAAAATAATATCCCTTAAACTCCTAATATATGGTATAAAGCACAGAAAGAACAAAAAAGTTGCTATAAGACTATTGGGGTTTTAGTGTATGACATTCAGCTTTATTTAGGGTTATGCATTTAGTTAATTTAACCACTATCATATGCTTCATAAGTACCTTCCTCCATGTCTGTTTATGCCCACATCTAGTTCTCATTGTTCCATTAACTATAAGCCTCTAACTTTTCCTAATTAATGCTCTCATTGGCCTCTGATACCTACTTCACATAATGATAGAGACCTTAATGTTGTTTTGCAGACAAAGCCACCCAGCTTCAAAGCCAAAAAAACATGGAATTAAGAATATCAGACATAATTTTTCTAAACAACTCTTTTTATACTGGTCATTCGGAAGATTAGGTTTAGGCATAAAAATCCACTTCCTCCTTTTGTTAGCTATATGTCTGATATTCTTCATTTTCCTGACCAATCCGTCATGTTCCATGCAGCGACTTAATGGTGCAAAGGGAATGCACCTCAAGGTAGGAGCGATAAAAGTATATCCCATCTCATTGTTATAATGGATAATAGAGGATCTCAAATTATTTCTAAAACTACTCTAAATTACACTCTTCATATCAATACTCCAACATTCTTGACTTCCTAGCAATTTTGCTCAAAATTTAACTCATTCTTCGATCCAAAAAGTTTAAGATATTAAATTTCCTTTTCCAGTGACCGATTCTCCAGTCGTACAAGTAGATAGGCAAATGGATTCTAAACCATCTTCTAGAAAAATGAGAATACAGGGAAAAGGCGGCTATTTAGGTTGCACAGATACGGGTACAGGTGTGGGTACAGGTACGGGTACGGGACACGGAAAATTTGTAAAAGTTAGGGTAAGGGGACACTGTTACACGCGCGCGCGCGTACACACATACATATACATGAGAAATTTGACTCCTTCAGTTTGTATGATCAGTCTATGAAAGTGAGGAGCTATTTTGTTTTGGTTTTGTGCTTTCATTAAGGATCATATCATATTGAGAATTCAACATGTGCACTGTAGCAAGACTGGATAATATATACACACACGCACATGAGAAATTTGACTCCTTCAGTTGGTACGATCAGTCTATGAAAGTGGGGAGCTATTTTTTTTTGGGTTTGTGTTTTCTTGAAGGATCATATCATGTTGAGAATTCAATATGTGCACTCTAGCAAGACTGACTTAGCCAGATGACTGTCTACAAACTAAAAATTATCCATAACTAAAAATGAGCCACTTAACTTTCTTATTTTCTCCAAACTTAAGGAATCAGGATAACTGCTACCCTTATCCTGAAAAGACAAAAATCAAAACTCATTCTCATCGAACCACCCCCTGTGACGGATGATGTCATACTCCACTAAGTAAATAAAAAATAAAGAAAATGGAGAGAGGAGAGAGAGGGAGAGTGAAATGTTCATCATCATCTTTCTTCATCCTCAAATCTCAGATGGCCTAAGAACTCACCCGTGTCCACCACGTTGGGGTATGTAGCTGTACCCAAAACGAGACCGCCACGGCTACGGCCCCCCAAGTTGTCGTGTCGGGCTAACCTAGACGGCTATTTACACTTCCAAAGGAAACATGTATGCTTCTACAACAGAAACATTTTTAACTTCACATTAAAGAATACAATAGTGTTGCCAAGGATGCCGGTTATCAAGCCTTAGAGGCCCAAACCGTGGCAGTTTAGCATAAAAAATGTCCCTTAGCAAGAAGTTCCCCAGAGTTCTTATTAGAACCATGAAAAAGTGCGATAATTATTAATAACTCAAGATGTTTAGTAAAGACATTAATTGGGCTAGTCCTAAGAATAAATCTAGTGCAACAAGAAATTTTTCTTACTTGATACACATATCTTCCATGATTATTAAACTCCATATAATCACTAGTAACAACACATTTGTGAACCATCTTTTCTGATAGAGGTCCCAGTTGACTTGGCAACCAGCACAGATTCTAGAAAAGAAAAGGAAAGACTATTCAAGTCAATAAATATATGAACCAAACCTACCTTGATGCCACTAACCTCTCCTGGTGATTCTTTGTGTGTTCAGTTTGGGTTGCATCTGTTACAAAGTTACGTGTCAAGGTATCTTCATCAATCAAAATGATCCCGTCATTAACTATGTTAAAATAAATTATTTTTCCCCCATTTGCCTCTTGAGCACTAACACAAATTACAGCAGTGGGAGCTTTTTCTCTGTATCTTTACTTAATGCCAGTTGAACCATTATATAAATTACAATAAAATTCAATCCTTTCACCAATACTTAGAATGTCGCTTGCCAGTTATCCAAATGGAAAATTAGGATCAATTTTTAAGGTTGCTTGTCAACCTAATGGTCCCGCTAACCCTATTTATCTGACACAGTAACTCACACTAACACATGTACACCTTTTTTATGTTATATATAAATCAAATAGCCAGAAAATTGTTAAGAGACCGTAAATTGTCCATGTTTCCAGAATGTCCAGTAGTCTTTTTTTCTCTAATAAGCTACAAGCATTGGCAATTACCCAAAAGAATGGTAATTGTACTTCAGCTCTAATGGGCGTATTGCATTTAAGTCGAGATTTATTTATTGTTGGGTTTAATGAAAAACCAATCAAAGGGATCACTCAAGTTCAGACCTTTATATACAAATTATGGACACACTGTACCCATTACTATTATTTAAAGGAAGTTTGCCTTATGGTCCAATTTTTTGGTCTTATATACTTTGTCATAGTCTTAAAAAATCCCTACAGATGTCCATACAAATTGTCAAGATTTTAAATAACATCACATAGTCTAAACCACCCTTACGACCCACGTTCTAAGTGATAAAGAAACCAGTAACCCACGTTTCCTTCTGAGCGCCAACTCTTATCAGTAAAACACTAGTTCTCATCTTTTGTAGTATGTACTTCTTTTTTGATAGATGTATCATGTACTTAGATAGTAAAGAAATTTTACTGTTGGTACTAAGTTATATGTAATGTAAAATAAAAATCCATGAAGCTTATGGATTTTTTTTTTCTTTTGAAGTTTGCTCTCCTATGCCTCACGTTCCTAATCCGTGTTTATTTCCCCACATTTTCTCTACATACTATAATTTCCTTTGAAACACCAAAAGAGAGACCATACATAGTGCCCAAGTTTGCTTAATTTTCTTTCTTTCGTTTTCGATTCCTTTCCATTTAATCTAATTTTGCCCTACTTTAGCCCCAATTATGTTGATCTCTTTATACAGTGTGAGGCCAAAGTGATGATTGAGCAACGATGGAGAATGTCAAAGTGGAGAGGAGCAGCATCAAGTAAGCCGAATCTCGATTCTCAGTCTTTTAGATCAATTTTGATCAATATCGTTATCGTCCCTTTTTAATTCACAAGGATCAGGTGGCTTAACTAGATTTTGAGTTCTCGATTCAAATGTCTTAGGTTTTTATGCGTTAACAGTCTAAGGGGGCTCTTTTTTTTCCCCCTTTCAGATTTTGAGTGATGACCATTTTCTCATAAGTCATAATTCAAGTGTGCATTTTATTATGTACGCATCGAATGCGGATGCTAGTTTTAATAATGATATCTTCATCCTTTGGGGAAAATGGAACAATCAAGGATCCGCAGCCAAATTCCCTTGTACAACACAAATGAGCAAATTCCTATTTTTATGTCAAAATGCATAATAAAAAGATGGAAAATATATTACCTGTAACCCACTTCAGAAGCGAGCACTCCCCTCCGCTCAAAATCAAATTTTGCGGAACCCTAATTACACAGCCAAATCAAAACAAAATCAGAAAAAAATTAAAAAAGTACTTGAGATAGAGATAGGGATTGTTACAAAGGGGCTGACCAATCCTTGAACCATCGGACGGCTGAAGGGGCCTTCGATCTCATGATCGGACGCTTCTTGCGCTCCAATCAAACTAATGGAGGATTGGTTTAGGGTTTTGGAGGAGGCGGATAAGAGCTACCGTTGAGCTGCAGGACACGGGAACGGTGACTGGGAGCGGAGAAAGGGAATGAAAGTGGAGGGAAATGTCGCCATGCTCGCTTCACCGCTGAGAGTGAGAACTCGTGGCTCGGAACACTGTCGAGATAGTAACAGAACGTTGCGGGTACGAACCGGTAACATTGCTTTCCACGTAACAGATGGGATATTTTGACTTGCATTTCCCATTAAGGGCCTGTTTGTTTCGAAAAAAAATACAGGAAGTGGGAGAAAGTGGGGGAAAAGAAAATATTTTTTGACGTTTTCCTCCACTTTCATAGGTTTGGTTCGTCAACGCTATAAAAGAAAGTGTGGGAAAGTATGAGCTGTCACTATATTATTGGTTGATGTGAGTAATTTTTGATGTTTTCCTCCACTTTCCGTCACTATATTATTGGTTGATGTGAGTAATTTTTGATGTTTTCCTCCACTTTCCTTGTTTAGATTTTTTTCTTGTGTTTGGTTCATTCTTAAAAGTTGGGAAAAAAAGATAAGATGAGATGAGATGAGATGAGTTGTCACCATATTATTGGATGATGAGATGAGATGAGTTTTCCTCCACTATCCTTGTTTTTTTGGAGGAAAGTGATGGAAGGAAATTTTAATGAGATGTGATGAGTTGTCACCATATTATTGGATGATGTGAGTAATTTTTAAAGATGATAGAAAACGAAGAAAAGTGGGGGAAAGTGAGTTAGATGAGTTGATTGATGTGACTCATTTCTTGTGTTTTGTTTATTTTTAAAAGTATGAAATGAGATGTGGTGGGATGAGTTGTCACAATATTAAAGTATGAAATGAGATGTGGTGGGATGAGTTGTCACAATATTATTGGAGGAAAGTGGAGAAAGTGAAGAAAAGTGGGTTTTAGAAAGTGGGGGAAAGTGAAAAAGTGAAGGAAAATGGGTTTTGGATTCTGGGGGAAACGAAACAAACAGGCCCTAAGGTGAATTAAAAAAAAGACTATTTTTTAAAACTAAAAAGGGTTATTGGTTGGGACAAATTGGGGCCAAGTGGAAAAATTATTCTAATGGAACAATTTTACCCCTTTGGGATATTTTGAGTGGGGTAAAGTGGGATAAAGTGAGATAATGGGATAATTTGAACCTTTGATTTGATAATTCATATGGGATAATTGATGATGTGACACCTTATTAAAAAATAATTTTATCTTTTAATTACTTCTAAATTAACTTATCCAATTGGTTTAGTATATTATTTAGTATATTATTATAATATAAATATTATTTTACTTTATATTAAAATATAATATATTATACTATACTTACAAATTACTATTATTAATTATTATATTGTATTATATTATATTATATTAGCATGCTATACTATATAATAATTAATATAATATAAGATCAATATATTTATAATATATGTTATTATATAATATTATTAATATATGTTATTAAAATATTATATAATATTATAATAAATACGTTATACTATAATTACTATTATATAATATTATTAATATATGTTATTAAATTATGTTATTAAATTATGTTATTAAAATATTAATATATGTTATATTTTATATATCATGTCATATATTTATAATATAATTAGTATGTATTAGTTAAGTAATACAAAAATATTTTAAAATTATCCCAATTGCCTTCAAAGTGGAACAATATTGTTCCAATATAGAGGATGGGGTAAATTTTTACTATTGGGACAAAATTTTTGTATATGGGTAGGGTAATTTTATCCCAAGTGGTGTGTAATTGTCTCACTAGTATTCCAAAAAACCAATAACACAAAAAGGTATTATCCTTGCTATTGTCCCAATGAATAACACTTTGAAATAGAATCCCTAAAATTATCTCATTATCCCCCAAAATGTTCCAACCAATAACCCCCCTAATTAGCAAAATCGACCATATTTTGGTCTCGTTATCAAGACTAGTTAAAAAGAGTTCGATTTAAAAAATATCATTGTTACAATACACGGGACTAGTAGTCCCATGTAATCAGTGGTCGCTAATTAACAGTTAAATTAAGTCCAAAATATACATGGGACTAATAATTAGTAGTCACTAATTAACAGTTAAATTAAGCCAACAATATACATGGGGCTACTAGTCTCGTGTAATTAGTGGTCGCTAATTAACAATTAAATTAAGCTCAAAATATACATAGGGCTACTAGTCCTGTGTAATTATTGGTAGCAAATTAACAGCCAAATTAATCTTAGAATATACACGGGGCTACTAGTCTCGTGTACTCTGTAGACACACAGAAAACATACGGGACTAGTAGTCCCGTGTGTATTCTGAACATGCACAAAATATGCACACATATTTGTAGCTTTTCTCCCATACATATATAATATTTGTTGTGCATAAAAAACTTTAAATTCATCTCATGTACATATCCAAATATTATAATCTTCATATATATATATATATATATATATATATATATATATATATATATATATATATATATATATATATATATATATATATATATATATATATATATATATATATATATATATATATATATATATATATATATATATATATATATATATATAGATACAAGGTTTGCACAAAAGGAATTTTGGCTCAAGCGCAAGGTAACCAATGCAACAAAATAGTTTAATATTCATTTCACGAAATAATTTGACCACGGGAATGTAGTGCTCCATCACATTCATGTATGGTATGATATGCTAGATGTAACCACAGTAACATGCATTAAGAAAAATATTCTTTCGTTAACAGCAGTGCAGTAGGAAAAGCAATATGTACTTCAAATAACAGTACCATATCATTAATCCATATGCTCCACCACAACAAAAGATAAATTTTTAAACCGTGTCAACGCACTTAAACATACCTGGGCAAGTTAACTGGTACAGCTAGTCTATAATGCCCTAAGTTTGTCCACATCCACATTTTTTGGTAAAACGGTGGGGGGGCTTTTGCCTCTCTTTCTTTCTTGTGCTTTTCTCTAATGATGATTTAATTCTTGTAGCTTTGCGTGGACGGACCTTGGTTCTTGTTGTTCCGGGTCACGGAACTGTATTTGCGAGCATATGCTGGATTGTTGTGAAGTAGGTATCTGTTGGAATATTCGACTCAAGTAATGTGGCTGCTCCAGGTCTATTGCTTGGACACCCTCTGAACTTCTGTCTTCAACCCTCTCTATGAACTTGTTTACAAAGAATCAAGCTCATGCATGTATCTTATCTGGATCAAAGGCAAGTCCAGTGCATATGTTGCGTTTTTTGCTTTCAATCCCAACGTTCTTCAACAAATTTATTTTTTCTCACCACCTGCAATGTTTTTTGCCAAACCACAACATTATAACTCCAATGTTACGATGTCGTGATCTATAGTCCAACGGTGTAGAATATATACAGTGGGCATGAAAGAATTGCTATGTTTGACATTAGAGTTACATATATGTTTGCATTAGGACACCACTATTCTCAAACAAACCACAGCCTGCAACTATACTTGTAATTCTCTAACATTCATCATAAGTAAACAACCTCCACTTTCATTGCTTTCATCTATGTAAGTTCACAACTCGACCATAAACCAAACTTTTCTTCTTTTCTCTCCTCTTGAAGCCAGAGCACCACACCCTTTATCTCATTCTGAAATAATGGAAAATAGTGCCGGGATAAACTTAAACTTTTTTCCAAGGGCTTTTGTCTTTCAATGGATGCCAAGGTGAACTGCCGGTTTGTTTAAGAGTTTACTGTTCATTGTGCTTCACTCAATCGTGCGACTGCGTATGGCCTTTTCTATTGAGTTACAATCTGTTAAACTGTGTTTGTGAATTCACAATTCCATCAAAGAATGGAGTTAATACTTTCACTCCTTGAAGTTGTCTCATTCCTGCAAAAAAATGCCTTTTAAAAGCATTGGCACCCAATGGTTCGATACATGTACATAGTTTGCAGCCAGCCATCTTCTTCTTCTATTATTCTTTAAACTTCTCCTTCATCTCGAGCATGCAAATTACGTCCAATGTTACCACTATTACACCACAAGTCCCAATAATTTTTGACAATTCTTCACCGTAAATAGAGTTCAAGTATCAACGATGATCGGCAATATGTCGCCTGCAGATGCAAATACAATAACGATGCTTGTGTTGGAAAGACTTTCATTATGAATGGCATTCACATTGCTCGGGTCTTGGTCTTGTGATTGATTGCACCTGTTCAATTCATGCATGCAATTTACTTCCTGAAACATGTCGTCGAAGTCAGTCGAGGGTCTGTCCGAAGTCGTCCGAAGTTGCTCTCCCGAATCACTTGACGTCGGCGAGACTCCTCGTCGAGTGCTCCGATCAGCGCTTGTGCCAGGGCGTCGTCGTGAGGTTGGAGCGCAGGGGGAGGAGAGAGCAGGAAATGGGACGATTCTCAATTTGGGTTGGAGTCACGGTGCTCAGGATCTTTACATGCTTCTGAGCTTTCATTTTCAAAAAAAAACCCCTCCGTAACGAGACCCAATCGCATTTAGGCCCGTGCGAGCGTTAGGAAATTTTCCTGAGCTCTGAGCTCAGGATTCAGTGTCCCCATATATATATATATATATATATATTATATATTTATATATATATATATATATATTATATAATATATGTATATTAATATATAGTATATACTAATATACATTATGATATATAATATATATATATATATATATATATCATATCCTATATATGTAAAGATTATATATAATATATACTATATGTATATAATATATATATAATATATATGTATATAATATATCTATATATGTGAGTATATATATATATGTATTATATATATATATATGTATATATATATATACATATTATATTATACAATATAATATATTACTATATATATATATATATATAAGACTATATATATATATATATATATATATATATACATATATACACATATATATATATATATACATATATATATAATATATATATATATATATATATATATATATATATATATATATATATATTATATATTATATTATATATATTATACTACTAATACTATATATTATATACTATATATATATATGTATATACACACACATATATACTCAATAGATATATATCTCATACACACACACACACACACACATATATATATACATTAATATATATATATAGTTATATATATATATATATAATATATATATATATATATACTTATATATATATAATTATATACTATATATATAAATATATATATATATATATATTATATTTCGGCTGTATTCTATCCCCCCTCCAAGACCCTTCCTCTCTCTCGACGCTGAAGGTAATTACTCGAACCCTCTATCTCGACCTGTAGCCCGATCCCTTTGATTGGATTGGCTACTTGGAAATGAGTCTTCTTTTTCATTAATTTCTTGTGCTGAAATTGGTGGCTATGGAGATGGAGTTTTGGACAATGTAGATCTATTATGGAGTTTTGAACTCTCTCTCTCTCGGGGATCCCATTTTTGCTGTTATTGTTTGTGTTTATTGTAGATTGGTTCGCACTAAATATTGGAGGTGTTGACCAATAGAACAAGAATTCGAAAGGAAGAAAGTCAAAGTAGTAATGACCTGCTTGTCCCAATTTGTTCTCCAAGTTATGCAGACGAGAACAAGCGTCTGAACTAATGTTCCCAGTATCATTCCTATCCAGATTCCCTGCAGCGGGGATTGAAAGAATTATTATAGTTTCATAATCCAGCTGCTGAGTTCTATACAAGTTCTCTACTTGAGAGGAAAAATCTAATCATTTCGCCAATAATTAATTTATAGTCCACAAAATTCATCTATTTCAATCCTAGCTTAATTTCTTAGACGTCATTCTCTGGATCATATTAATTAGTTGTGCATGTTGTATCTCACATTGACTTGATAACCGATCAAATATCCGAGCACGATTCCTAGGGGTATCCCGATCAAGTCAGTAATGAATGGTTATTTGTTCAGCTAGTTTGCAAACCTGACTTGGTTGTGTTTATTGGTTGTGTTTATTATGCAAACCTGACTTGGTTTATGTTCAGCTAGTTTGCTGCATACATTCTCATCTAATGTCTTTGCAGATAAAAGATGAAAGAACTTTCCGGAAGTGTTCAGTGGAGAAGAAGATGAGGGTTTAGTTCAAAAAAGATGTTATTGTGGGTTAATTTGCAGAATATGGATGTGCAAGCAAGGACATAATAAGGGCTTGGAATTTTATGGATGCCCGAGATACAAGGGACCTAATTGCAAGGGCTGCAACTTCTTCGAATGGGTGGATGATACCAAGAACATCACAAAAAGGCTGGAAAAGCTAGAAAAAAATGTTGAGGTTTTGAATAAAATGTTGAAAGATGTAATTTTATATTTAAAACTTATAGGTATCGTTGTACTGATATTGTTGCTCTGTGTTTTAGTCAAATGATGATGGTTATCTGTTTTTGTTCAGATGTTATGATTATGAGGTGTACGATCTGTAATTTGATGACTTGAGAAGAATGACCATGTTTATAAACGAATGCCTCTTTTACGAAATTTCAAATACTTTTTAATTTGAGGAGAATGACCATGTTTATAAACGAATGCCTCTTTTACTCCATTTCAAATACTTTTTAATTCATATATCTATAGAATTGATGTGAATGTGAAATATATCGATTAGAGTTGATGATGGTATGTTGTATACTGTAAATGCACATAAAAATCTTGCAGCAGCTACAAACGTACACAACCAAGAAGCTCTTAAGATAAAGGAAAGACAATATAAACTGCTATAGGGATACATGTATTGCCGAAAACCATGAGAATATGACCAACTTAATAACCATGAGAATATACAATAGTTAGAAGATACAAACAGCCCATCTTTGAAGTCCATCAACACATTCAAGATATGACCAACCTAATAACTAGCATGTTCACAAATATGACCAACTTAATAACCAGCATGTTCACAAATGGTGAAATATCTCGCATACAAAGCCACCAACATAAGACCAACCTAATAACCAACATGTTCACAAATATGACATCAACTTGGTTCACATTTATACATCAATGAAGTCTTAAGTTGAGCAGATCATTTCTTTTTCAGGTACAAACACATTACACCAAACATAAGACAAGAATTAAATCAGGATTCACATCCAGTGGCAAAGGAGGCACTGGTTGCTCTTCAACCCATCGTCTTGTCAACTGCATGAATATAACAAAACATATATCAGCTGCAGAGGGTAAAACCGTAAAAGAATCTAACTTTGCAAGACTATTAATAAGATAAAAACAACTTAATTCACATAAAAATCTCTCCTTTCTTCCTTTCTCTTCCATGTATATTCTATATCTTTTCTCTAGCTAAAAAATCATGCACTTAAAATTGCTATAAGTTCATTGGATAGATGACTATATCATGCACTTAAAACTACTATAAGTTCATTGGGTAGACGACTATAACATACACCCACATGTGCATTAGTGAACAAAGTGAAGAACTTCAAGAAAATTGGTAAGACATGAATCATGGTGCAAAGGTCATTACTCCAAGGTGACCCTAGAAACAAGCAGGTGAACCCAAACTTTTAAACCACCCTACATTATTCGAAATTCACATTGCAAGCTGAGAATCTAGAATGCACAAACAGCTTCATAAGAAATTTGCTAGAAAAGTGAGTGTCAGGTTTCATGGGTTCCTAGAAAAGTGGTGGCAACTATTGTGATGACAATCATGGAGGAGACTACCTTGTGAATGTCAGGTTCCATGGGTTCCTAGAAAAGTGAGTAGAATACTGGACAAGATACAAGTTTCACAAAAGAATTTGCTTTCCAAGCAGCAAGGTAACCAATGCAACAAAAAAGTTTAATATCATTTCACGAAATTAATGACCACGGGAATGGGTAGTGCTCCAAATCACTTCATTATGGGATCATGTATGCTAGATTAAACCACAGTAACATGCATCTAAGAAAATATACTTGTTAACAGCAGTGCAGTAGGAAAAGCAATAATGTACTTCAAATAACAGTAACATATCCATTAATCCATATGCTCCAACAACAAAAGATAAAATATTTTAACTTGTCAACGCACTTAAACATACCTGGGCAAGTTAACTGTACAGCTAGTCCTATAATGCCCAAGTTGTCCACATCTACCACATGTACGCTTTTGCCTCTCTTTCTTTTCTTGTGCTTTCTCTAATGATGATTTAATTCTTGTAGCATTGCGTGGACGACCTTTGGTTCTTGCTTGTTCCGGGTCACGAACTGTAATTTGCGGCATATGCTGGATTGTATGTGAAGTAGGTATCTGTGGAATATTCGACTCAAGAATGTGGCTGCTACCAGCATCTATTGCTTGACACCCTCTGACTTCTTCTTCAACCCTCTCTATGAAACTTGTTAACAAAGAATCAAGCTCATGCATTCTCTTATCTGACTCAAAGGCAAGCTCCATCAAGCTCATGCATTCTCTTATCTGACTCAAAGGCAAGCTCCAGTGCATTGTTGGTTTTTGCTTTCAAATCCCAAGTTTTCAACAAATTTATTTTTTCTACACCACCTGCAATGTTTTTGCCAAACACAACATTACTAACTCCAATGTTACGATGTCGTGCATCTATAGTCCAACGGTGTAGAATATATACAGTGGGCAATGAAAGACATTGTCTGTTGAACATTAGAGTGTACAATATATGTTTGCATAGAACACCACTATTCTCAAACAAACCACAGCTGCAACTATACTGTAATTCTCTACATTCATCATAAGTAACAAACCTCCACTTTTCATTGCTTTCATCTAAGTCACCAACTCGCCATAAAACAAACTTTTCTTCTTTTCTCTCCTCTTGAAGGCCAAGAGCACCACACCCTTTGATCTCATTCTGAAATACATGAAACATAGTGCGGGTATAACTACTTCCAGCTTGTCTTTCAATTGGATGCCCAAGGTGAAACTGCGGTTTTGTATTAAGAGTTCTAAAATCTTCATGTGCTTCACTCAATCGTCGATGCGTCATGGCCTTTTCATATTGAGTTACAAATTCTTTTAACTGTGTTTGTGAATTCACATATCCATCAAAGAATGAGTTAATACTTTCACTCCTTTGAGTTGATCTCATTCCTGCAAAAAAAATGCCTTTTAAAAAGCATGACACCCAATGGTCTCGATACATGTACATAGTTTGCAGCCAGCCATCTTCTTCTTCTATTATCTTAAACTTCTCCTTCATCTCGAGCCAATGCAAATTACAGTTCTCAATGTTACCACTATTACACCACAAGTCCCAATATTTTTGAAATTCTTCACCGTAAATAGAGTTCAAAGTATACAAATGATCGGCAATATGTCGCTGCAGATGCCAATAACAATAACGATGCCTTGTGTTTGGAAAGACTTTCAGATGCCAATAACAATAACGATGCCTTGTGTTTGGAAAGACTTTATGAATGGCATTACACATTGCTCGGTCTTGGTCTGTGATGATAGCACCTGGTTCAATTCCATGCATGCAATTTAACCATTCCTGAAACAACCAAATAAATGTTTCTTCTTGTTCATCAGCTAGCAATGCACAACCAAATAAAATAGATTGCCTATGATGATTCACCCCAGTAAATGGTGCAAATGGAAGACTAAACTTGTTGGTTTTATAAGTCACATCAAACACAATAACATCATTAAACTTCAAATAAGCTGCTCTTGATTTTCCATCTGCCCAAAAAACACTCCTCATTTGTCCAGTACAATCTACTTCCAATGCAAAATAAAAATCTGCATCACTAGCCGCCTTTCTTTGAAAATATTGGATAACAGATATACATTCATTGCCAATATTGTTGTGCCTTTGAGTTTTCATATAGTCAATGCATTGTTGTGGTGTCACTAATTCATCTTCTCTTCCACTTGTCGCGTTAATAACACGAGAAATAGTGGAAGGAGTAATACCTTCTTCTTGCAAACATTGGATAATTTTTTTACACCTTTTACTTCTATGAAATTGTTGTTGTGACCTGTGCATCTTTGCTTTATCTGGACTACTGAGCATGTGGTTTGTATGATCTTCAATAAAACCTATAACTTTCCATGTTTTATCCTCCATTAATTTTATTCTCATCATTGCTTTACAGCCAACTCTGGTCTCTCGCCGATGATTAATAATTTTTCCTATATCTCTCTTGTCTTTATTAGATCTATAACCTTCTTTGTCACAAACAAATTTTCTATTCAACACTTCTTTATCTTTCTGGGAGTAATTCACTGAGCTTTTTCTGATTCCAAATCCCATCATCAATGCATACGAGTTATAAAAGTTATAGGCCTCCTCATGACTATTAAACTTCATTCCTAAACACGGTTTTTCACCACTTTGCATTCTGAAATAAAGAAAAATTGACCAAAAATATATAATGTTACTCAATGTTACTATTTCAAACAACATATTTAACGTCAGCGAAATTCATGATATTATTGAGGTACCTTGAAACAGGCATCGTTGTTGGAAAAGACATGAAATCATTGTTGTTGTTACTATCACCATGAACATCTTCGTTGCAACTATCCATAACCGATGGTCGGCCTCGGCGGAGAGAGACTGAAATGAGGAGGAGCAGGTTGGTCAGCTGTCGTAATATGCTCTTTAAGAACAAAGCAACAAGAGAAAACTGGAAGGATTAACATCTCAGACATTAGATGAGAATGTATGCAGCAAACTAGCTGAACATAAACCAAGTCAGGTTTGCATAATAAACACAACCAATAAACACAACCAAGTTCAAAGGGATCGGGCAACCAATTTCAGCACAAGAAATTAATGAAAAAGAAGACCCATTTCCAAGTAGCCAATCCAATCAAAGGGATCGGGCTACAGGTCGAGATAGAGGGTTCGAGTAATTACCTTCAGCGTCGAGAGAGAGGAAGGGTCTTGGAGGGGGGATAGAATACAGCCGAAGCCACTCGAAGCGGTTCGAGAGGGATCCGCGCTTCTTCGTCGTCGGCGACGAGGTCGGAGAGTGGTAGGGAGGGGCTTGGACTGGGCGGGCGTCGGGTCTGGAGGCTTCCGCGCGTCGGCTCGTCGGCTCGTCGGTCCGTCCGAGGGTGGGCGTGTAGAGTCTTCACTCGTAGCGAGGAAAGCTGGCCGTAGGGGTCTGCCGTCGAAGTTGTCGTCGGCGAGAAGTGTCGTCTCGAAGTCGTCGAAGAAGTGTCGTCGAAGCTCGTCGAGGGTCTGCGTTCGAAGTCTGTCGAAGTTTTTCGTCGAATGTCCAGTCCGGTCCGGTCGAAGAACTCCTCGTTCGAGTGGGCTTCGTCGTCATCGAGCTTGTGTCCAGCGCGCCTGTCGTCGTGCGTGGGAGCGCATGGGGGAGGCAGAGCACAGGAAATTGGAGATCTCAATTTGGGGGTTGGGTCACGGGTGCTCAGGATCTTTAATGCTTCTGAGCTGTCATTTTTTCAAAAAAAACCCCCTCCGTAACGAAGACCCAATCGCATTTGGCCACGTGAGCTGAGCGTAGGAAATTTTCCTGAGCTCGAGCTCAGGATCAGTTTCCCCAAATTAATCTTAGCAATATACACGCGGCGCTACTAGTCTCGTGCCTACTCTGTAGAACACACAGAAAAATACGGACTAAGTAGTCCCGGCTGTATTCTGAACATGGCCCACAAAATATGCCACAACATATTTGTAGCTTTTCTCCCAATACATATTATAATATTTTGTTGTCATAAAAAACTTTAAATTCATCTCATGTTGTACATATCCAGAATAATCTATAATTTATTATATAATATATTTATTATATACTATATAGTTATACTTTAATATATATATATATATATATATATATATATATATTATATATATATATATATATATATATATTATATATATATATATATATATATATATATATATATATATATATATATATATATATATACTATACTATATTATATATATATATATATTATATAATATATATAATATATATATATATATATATAATATATATATATATTATATATATATATATATATATATATATATACTATATATCTATATATATTATATATATCATATATATATATGTATTATTTATATATATATATATTATATATATTATATATATTATACTATATATACTATATATAATATATATATGTATATCTATATATTATATATATATATATATATATATATATATATATATGATATATATATATATATATCATAATATAATATTATATGTATATTATATATATCTATATATGATACTATATATATATATATAGTATATATATATAATATATATATTATATATATATTATATATATATATATATATATATATATATATTATTATCTATATATATATATATATATATATTATATATATATATATATATTATATATATATATATATATATATATATATATATATATATATATATATATATATATATATATATATATATATATATATATATATATATATATATATATATATATATATATATATATATATTATATATATATATTATGTATATATATATATATATATATTACTATTATATATATATATATGTATATTATATATATATATATAATATATCATGTAATATATAGTAATAGTATATATATTTACTATATATGTTATATATATATATATATATATATATATATATATATATATACTATATATATATATATAGTATATATATATATATATATATATATATATATATACATACTATATATATATTAGTAGATAAGTTATATATATATACATATATAAATATATGTATATATACATGCTATATATATATGTATATATATATATATATGTATATATATATATATGTATATTTTATATATATATATTCACGCGGTCATATATATATATATGTATATATATATGATCTATATTATATATTATATATATATATATATATTATATACTATATTATATATTATAATATATATAATATATATATTATATATATATATATATATATATATAATATATATTATATATATATTATATATATATATATATAATATATATATGCGGAAAAGTGAACTCTAAGCGTGACACCCCTTAGGCTCTATCTAAGTGACGCCGGCCTAATAATTCACATCATTTCCTAATTTTTTTTACGACTCCGTTCCGTTAAACTGATCTTACACGTTCTTATAACCCAAACACACCATTTTAGGGTGAAACTCCTATCGTGTTTGACCCTTTATCCACTCGCTGCAATTTTTAGACGGTTTGAGATGAATAGAACTTTTTACACGGCTCAACGAGATGCGTCAAAACACAACGGGTGTTCACCAAAAATTCGGTGTGTTTGGGGTTTAAGAGTGTAGAATCAGTTTCAACGCGAGCGGATCTCACAAAAAATTTAGAAAATAGTATGATTTATGGCCGCGTCCTTAGGGAGCCGTTCTTTTAGGCGTTCACCTTAGATCACTTTTTCGCCTATATATATATATATATATATATTATATATATTATATATATATATATATATATATATATATATATATATATAGATATTATATCATATCGTACAACATGAATAGATAAACATATCATGACAACACATATTATCTCCATATAAACATCGTAACAAAACCAAATATATCGAATGTATTTGTTTACAAATAACCTACATCGACACGCTAAATAGAGTCAACACAGAAAATCCATAAATCGATCACATACACCCTACAAGTCCGCCCCTTCCGCTTTGTCTCCCTCTTCTCACCCACTCAGATCGTCATTGTTCTCCATGGACTTGAGCTTGCATGAGTTCCATGTCTGGTTGCATGTGCTCTTGGATCTGCTCTAGCGACATAAAGTGTTTAACCTTCATTTGCAATTACCTCAATATCATCAATAGCATCTATATGCAACTAAGTCAAAAAGTTACATATATAAGCAATTTGTAGTAATATGAAATAAGTGGACATGCTAGTAAATAACTAACAAGTTCTCTTTCATTTAAATGCCTTGGCATGTATCTCCATTGTAGGGCATGTTGTTGGTGTTTATCGATTAGAGTTGTGGTCTGATTTATTATCCATCTTCAAGTATTCCTCTAATACCACCTAATGCAATCTGATTCATGAAGAGGAGAATTAATCTACTCCATGATACTCAAATGTTGATCGTCCTATTTGTATATATACCGATGATGCATAATTGCTTAGTCTATTTGATACTCGCCTTTCCCAGTCTTTCTCTTTATTCTTTCAACATCTTCTGGTAGTTGTGCCAAGTCAAACTATCTAGGTACACGATCCAATGCATGCATCTCCACAATCTCAAAACATATGAAAGGAACTCTTGCTCTCTATATAACTTGGCCCAAATCATGCAAATTGATGGTAGATGAGTAAGGTGATCACTGTATGACTCCCGCTCGAATTAGAAACTATTTGACATATTAGTATCTCATTGAAAATTGGTGGAGGATTGAATTTTCTTAAAGTGAATTTCGGTGCTTGATAAATCTTCATGCGATTAAGCTCGTTCCTATAAAAGTCTAACTATCTTGTCGGGGTCTCATTATAGCATTTCTAGATGTTCTATCTGCATGAATGATCAAAGTTTAGCATCAAATATATCAATTATAATTCAAAAATATTTTTGTATTAGCTCAAAAGTGTGACGCTCCTGGTTTCACATAAGGTTGCAGTCCAAGGTGAAGCCAAGGATGTCAAACCTACCTTGTACCCAAAACTGTGCAATAACATATTTCATCATCATAGTAATATTTTTCTAGTGGAATCAAATACAAGAAGTGTGGGTACAAGCAGATAGTATAAATGTAATGATACAAGGAACACAATATAAAGAAAAAATCCAATAATAAATGTAATCATGTTCCAACAAAAAAAAGAAATACAACTGATAAATCTGAAATAAGAGTAATAAATCTCTAATACAAGAGTCAACTGAATACAGTACTAAAGCACTCAGCCTCCAACATGAAATACATCTCTAAAGACTAAAAACAAATAATAAAAGTCTACTATGGAGTACTAACTAGCTACTAATAAATGACGGTGAGCTGGACTGAATCTCCGTCAACCTGCGACTCTCCGAACGCTTGACTCGCTACCTGAAAAAGATAGAATCAACGAGCGTCAAAGTGCTAATGAGAACATCTCCACCACCCTCAGGGGGGTTAGGTGTATGAAAATACAAGTGATAGCATATATAATATATAAAACATATGCACTAAACTAAGAGGAAATTGATATTCAGAAATCCACAACACAAGAATGGGTACGTCGAGCAAAATAATCCAAATAAGAAAACCCTCATGTATATACCACGTATCTCAAATTATGGATTGCTAAGTACCAACTCCAAATCCTATGAATAAAATAAATAACAAGGAATATCACATTATCAAACCTCATCCAAAACAAGTCGTGTCATAACTACCCTCGGGTAGTTGGCATGGCAACAAGTGTAATTATCCAGTAAAAGATCTCGTATAGTATATGTTGTGTATGGCAAACTTCAGCCTTATACCCTACACTCGGGGTAGATAACATGGGAGCAAAAATACAAGTGGTGATCCTTTACAAAGAAAATATTAATGCTGAGTAAGGCGCCCACAATATCCTGTGGCTCATCGTAATATCTTGTGATTCATTACCTTACTCGAACACCCTGTGGAGGCATATCAGCCTAATTCAGAATCCAATACAAATAAAATAAATATAGAGTCTCGACACTCATAACATCGTGTGGTTTAGTGCAATCTCATGCGACTCGCAACCGAACTGGCTCGCTCTGCGGATTATAGGCATATAAGCCTAATCCAAAATCCAATAATGCATAACAGAGTGTAGTCTACTGCGACCTCATTACAGTATACCAACTAACCCACTCTAAGTGTAGTCAATCGACGGCCTCATTACGGTGTACCAACTAACCCCACTCGAGCATCCAAAACTATCATAACATGAAATAAACATTACTCTCTATCATGACAAATTCAAAAATTAAATCACACACCTCAAAAGCTTGTGCGTGCTCAAAATCCAGTACGTGCTCTCTCATAAATAATGTATGTGTATCGATGTATGATTCATACTTTGTACGTACGGTCAAAAGCATGAGGAAAGAAATAATATATGCAAAACAACCCAAGTCGGTCGACCGAAATGTTCTATCTATTGACCGGCGACGTGCACAAATAAGCACTCAGAAAAAAGGCCTTGATCGGTCAACCGACTTCATGTTTCGGTCGGCTGATCAGGGTACATCGGTCGACCGATTCTCTGGGTCGGTCGACCGATCAGGGTACAAGAACCAGACGCATGATTCATGAAATTAAACTGATTTTTCTCATAAGAGCTTGTGAAATTATTGTTATGGAGTGTATAAGCATGTATAATCTCATAGTGGGGGTTAATTCTACTATATAAAATAGTGGGGGTTAATTCTACTATATAAAATCACAAATATAAACTTTTGAAGGGATCTACTAACCCTAACATGGTTGTATTGATAAATTTATCATGAAAACAAAATCAAATTGGCAAAATCTCATGTAAATTTTACTTCAGAACTTATCCCCAAGTTAAGAAATCTGTTTCTTAATATTTTAAATCAAAAAAATCAAATATTTATATCATACAGATTAAAAGTATGATCTTTACTCATAAAATATGTTTAAAAAATCCCATAAAACCAAATAAAACCTAGAAAAATAGGGCATGGATTTGGAGGAGATGAAACTCACCTAAAAAATTGTGCTGGACTCCCAAACACGTGAGATACACGATCATCCTTCACCAAAAGCCGACGATCCCGCCCTCCTTTTGGTATTTTCGCTTCTCAAAGTTCTCCAAATTCACAAGAGAAAACTCTAGGGTTTTTGAGGGAAGGGATGGCTGAACAAAGTGGGAGTAACAGTAGAATAGAGGAGAAAAATCGGGTTATATACATATATATACATGTGTGATCAAACAGGCCAAAAACTGACCCAACCTGAAAACCCATTTTCGGTCACTTATCAGTCGACTGATGCTCATTGATCAGTCGACCGACCAGCACCTATCGGTCGACTGATTTCTAGGGGCGGTCAACCGATAAGTGGTGTTTTCAGCCAATTATTTTTTGCGTACTTACATGTTTACACTATTATATATCCATATATGTACTTAATCGATCTCAAATCGATTACTAACATACTTATTTATCTCATAATAATATCAACCATAATAAAAATTATTTAGTATTATTTTCCATAATATTTTCAAAATTACGGGGTTTTACATTCATCCCTCCTTAAAAAGAATTTCGCCCTCGAAATTCCACAAATAATTATAAAACACAAAATATGTGTCATATACGCAATATTTACACTTAACATCTAGAATGTGAATACTCCTACTTAACCTCTAATTAAACGAAACTAGTACGTCGGGCGAAAAAATCCAAACAAGAAATCCCCCATATATATACCATATGTTCTGAATAATTAGTTGCTAAGTGTTAATATCCACATTCCAGCGTGAAGTCTAAAATGCGGCTATATAGATAAGATGAACACAAACAATACTATAGTTAACAATATACCTGCTCGAACATGTGTGAGTAGTCACAACGCATGTCCTCCTCTTGCTCCCAAGAAGCTTCCTCAGCTCCTTTCTGATTCCATTGGACTTTAAATAATAAGATCACTTTATTTCGAAGCTTCTTACCCTCCCTAGCAAGAATGCGAACTGAGGTCTCAACCATAGTCAAATCCACTTGAAACTCTAAATATGGTGCATTAAACACTCTCTGCTGCTCCTCGTCACATAAGTGCTTCTTGAGCATCGAAACATGAAAGACATCATGCACACACGACATCGAAGCTGGAAAATCTAGTCGATGCGAGACGGCTCCAACACGTTTCACAATCCGGAACGGACTAATATATCTCGGGGCAAGCTTTTCTCGTCTGCCAAACCATTTGACACCCTTCATGGGTGATACATTCAACAGGACATAGTCTCCAACCTGAAACTCTAAGGGTCGTCACCTCTGATCAGCGTAACTCTTCTGTCGGCTCTACGCTGCAAGAATGCGCTCTCGAATTAATGTTACCTTCTCTGAAGTCTGCCTAACAAGGTCTGGTCCAAGCAGTAAACTATCATCCGGTTCTGCCTAACAAATTGGGGATCTACAGGATCTCCCATACAATGCTTCATAAGGAGCCATACCTATAGTTGACTGGTAACTATTGTTGTAAGCAAACTCAATCAATGGTATGTAATCTTCCCAACTACCTTGGAAATCTAACACACATGCCCGAAGCATGTCCTCCAATACTTGGTTAACTCTTTCTGTTTGACCATCTGTCTGTGGGTGGAAAACGCTGCTATAAGCTAGCTGGCTGTCGAAAGAATTCTAGAAGCTCTTTTAGAAATGAGATGTAAAAACTAAGCCACTATCTGATACAATCATCTTTGGAACTCCATGCAATCTTACAATCTCCCGAATAAAAATCCTAGCATAAGTCTATGCCGTATGAGTTGTCTTAACTGGTAAGAAGTGCGCCGACTTTGTCAATCAATCAACAATTACCCAAATAGAATCGTTCCCTTTGCTGGACCTCGGCAATCCTACAATGAAATCCATCGAAATATCTGCACATCTCCACTCTAGAATGGGTAAGGGCTATAGGGTACCCACGAGTCTCTGATATTTTGTCTTCACTTGTTGACATGTAAAGCATTTAGATACACACTTCGCAACATCCCTACGCATGCCGCTCCACTAAAAATGTCTCTTCAAGTCATTGTACATTTTGGTTGTGCCTGGCTGCATAGTGTATCTGGTATGGTGTGCATCATCAAATAGATCATTCTTCAACTATGGATTATCTGACACCACTAACTGGCCTTTCATTCTAAGGCCCCTATCTGATCTGATGGTCCAATCTGCCTTGGAATCTTTAGAAATTTTGCTCTTTCGGGGTCGAATCCAAGAGTCATCCAATTGAGCATTAACCATTCTATCAATCCACGATGGTTGCACTACTAACATTCCTAAAAATGCACTACATCCGCCAATCTCTTGTCTGAAGTTAAACTGACTGAGGGTAAGGATATCTCTGTACAATGAACACCTCAAAGCTGCAAGTTTGTGACGATGCTTCTTGCTCAAAGAATCTGCTATGATGTTCACCTTCCCCAGATGATGCTAAAGTGCAAACTCGTAACCCTTGATAAACTCGACCCATCACCACTACCTCTGGTTGATTTCCTTCTGCGAGAAAAGGTATTTTAGGCTCTGGTGGTCTCTAAATAATTCGAATTGAACTCCATAAAGATAATGCCTCCACACTTTGAGTGCGAAGACCACCGCTGCCAACTCCAAGTCGTGAGTGGGATAATTCTGCTCATGAGTCCTCAACTACCGTGAGATGTAAGTGACTACTCTCTGAGTCTACATCAAAACTCCTCCTAGTCCCGATAATGACGCATCCGTGTAGACAACAAAGGTCTTATTACTGCTCGGAATGATCAACACTAGTGCGGTAGTCAACTTGGCCTTCAAAGTCTCAAAGGCTTTCTAACACTCTGGCCCCAAAACAAACTGAACACCATTCTTCGTAAGGCGTGTCAGCGGGGTAGAAATCTTAGAAAAATCTTGGATGAATTTCTTATAGTATCCGGCAAGTCCCAAGAAGCTACGAATCTTTATAACAGTCTTTGGCGGCTCCCAATCAAGAACTGCCTCAACTTTAGCTGGATCAACTGTAATGCCCTTCTTGCTAATGACGTGGCCCAAAAATCTAACTTTAGAAAGTCAAAACTCGCATTTGCTAAACTTAGCATACAACCATAAAGTCTACAATGCCAAACGAAGATGTTGCTCATGCTTGGCCTTTGACTTCGAGTAGATGAGGATGTCGTCGATGAAAACGACCACGAACTGATCCACATATGGATGAAAAATCTAATTTATTAAATCCATGAATACTACGGGTGCATTAGTTAGCCCAAATGACATGATAAGAAATTCAAAAGACCCATACCGAGTTAAAAATACGGTCTTAGGAATATCCATCTCCCAAACGCGTAACTGATGATAACTGGATCGAAGATCAATATTTGAGAAACACTAAGCTCCCTGCAGCCGGTTGAATAAGTCATCAATCCTTGGTAATGGATACATGTTCTGGATGGTGACCTTATTCAACTCACGGTAATCAATGCACAAACGAAAGCTGCCGTCCTTCTTCTTCACGAAAAGGACCGATGCTACCCATGGAGAATGGCTCCGATGAATAAATTCCTGAGAAATGAGCTCATCTAATTGAGTCTATAACTCACTCATCTCAGTAGGTGTCATACGATAAGGTGCATGGGATATTGGTATTGTCCCAGCTGCAACTTGATGCAGAACTCAACCTCTCTCAGTGGAGGCAATCCAGGTATATCCTGAAAGACATCCTAATACTCTAAGACTACTCTGGTCTCTGTAGGCAATAAAAATTGCCTTTATATCCTTATCAGAGAAGTTCAGAACAAAACTGCTAAAACCTCGTCCAAAATAGCAAAAAGGGGAAAAACACTGATAAAAAGGGAAAAACGCAGATATCTCCCAAACCGTAGGGAATTTGGCGAAACGGAGGAAGCGAACCGAAGCCTTCGGCTAGGTTCGGATGGCTCCGTCTCGTTGAGATAGGCAATTTTCATATATAATTCGTCCAATTCCGACTTACGGTTTGAAAGTTACGGCCTATTCTTCGATCCATGCTCAAGAGCTCGCCTGCAGCTCGAATTTCGCCTGCACGATCAAGACCCAAGTCTGCCTGCACACCTGAGCTCGCCTGCAGACCCAGTTCGTCTGCAAGCTCGCCTGCAGACCTAAGTTTGCCTGCAGACCCGAGCTCGCCTGCACACTCGAGCTCGCCTAGTCGGCCTGAACATTCATAAATGCAGCTCACCTCGGCTGTCCGAGTCAAGAGCCGAATCCGCCAGCGTTCGGCGAGCTGTCCAAGCCCACTCGAGTACCAGGAACCCGCTTTCCCACCTCTCTCGACCTAAAGAGAGAAGACACGGTACTCCAAGCCCGCCGAATAGCCGCTCACGGTACAAGTGGTCAGGCAGGTGCCAGATCAACCTGCGCGTTCATAAATGCAACTCAGCTCATCGGTCCAAGTCAAGAGCTGGAACCGCCAGCGCACAGTGAGCTGGCCCAATCCACTCGAGTAATGGACAGCCGCTGTCTCACATACGAGGGTGGACCTTCCCACTCCTAGGCGACAGGACATGAAGCACAACCCATCGAGTGACGGTTCGTAGTACAGAGGAGCGACAAGATGTCTCTCAACAGTGTATGGTCACATCCCATGATTCAAGGAGCGGCCACGCCATCTCTCCTCTATTTAAGAACCTCGCCCGGCTACAGGAAAGGGGTTCACACATAGTTAATTGATTAATTCAATCAGTTAACTGAACCACTGGCTCTCGACTCCCAACGGAGTCGACGACAAGCTCTCTGCATCACTTTTGCATTGCAGCGCCACTTCCTAGTTCTGAGCCCCGATCGCCGGTGAACTAGAAGACCCGAACTCCATCGACTCGAGCTTCTACTGCGTACTGAAGCTCTCCAGCAACTTTGATCGGATCGTCCAAGGGAAGCAGACTCGGCGCGAGCACCGAGCGAGGCGTCCTATCGCCACCGAGGAACCCACGTTAAACAAGGAGGGCCTTCCCTCCGCTTCTGTTGTAAACATTTGATTTATTAGTTTGTAATAAGCCTTCTTATCAATACAAACGAAGTTCCCTGTTTTCGGGAGATCAAAATTTACACCTACAGTCTCGTACAAATCGGTACCCTGATCCTACAACAACACCTCCTCGACGTATGCTAGAAATGACTTCGCAAACTGGTTCCCTTGTTAGGTCACTACAACCAACTCAGTCCTATCAGACGCTCACAAACTGACTGTTTTGATAAAATAGTCGATACTAACATGGTAGGAAGATAGCCAATCCATACCAAGGATCACATCGAACTCAAACATGCGCAAGAGGATCAAATCGACTACGAACTCAGACTCGTTTAGGCTGATGACACATTGTCTACAGATACTCTCTAATAGGGACACCTCAACCAAAGGAGTAGACACTGATAAAGGTACATCTAGAGGATGTGAAACTAAAGAGTCTATCCATGAAAGCATAAGAGATAAAAGAATGCGAAGCTCCTGAATCAAATAGGATATGGGTTGGGAAGGAGTTCACAAGGAACGTACCTTCAACAATGGTCCTGCTCGCACCATGATCACATGGCATGACTGCATACACTCTTCCTCAAGCTGTGGACTACTGTACCGAAGACTTTGAAATATATGGAACTATCTGTCCCTATGGTACCTCCTGAATGGCTTGCACCTGGCCCTCTATCCTCGGAACTACTGGTGGTGCCTCTAGTCTCGGCTGCTGGCCCTTGCCTCGGCTCTGGGGCTTAACCTAACTTTTGTCTTGTTGACCTCATGCTAGTGCGTTGCGATACTCTACGGCTCTATGATCGAACTTGTGAGTGAAAGCAAGTACACTAAAATCTGCGTTGCTGTAGTACTCTCTGATACTGTTGTGGCCCCTTCTTATGAGGACCTTGATGCTGCTGCTGTAAACCCTTGCCCTGTTGTTGGGGTACTCTGGGTCCTGAAAATGATCTCTTTCCTTTTCCGTTATCTTTGGATTGTCCCGATCTAGAATTCCCTTGTCTCTGGATTG